TCTTTGCAAGCAGTGTGTTGTACATCCTTCCCTCTGACAAAGACAGGGCACAATATTCAGTTATGCATCACCCCACAAGAGCACCACAAAGGAACAAAGGACTACCTGTGCGTCCCAGTGTTGGCAATTGAGTGTTCGATTCTGGCCTGCAAAATCCTCACCACCATTTCAGTAGAGGGAGCAATGCTTCATCATTTCTGTACTTCCTACATACGGATACGAAACCTTTCAGAAGATCCGTGCGTGACAAAGATACACATGACTGCCGGTTCACAGACACCAATGATCAGCCATATTGACACCTGTTCACCCGTATTCATGCGCCGCTGGGCCAGACTAGCGGCGGTCAATGTGTGTGCTGTCCCCTCTCAAACACGGACCACAAACAGTCCAACACAACATTCTCCATAACGACACTCCAAGAAGGGAAAGACAAGCCCTTCTGAAAGGTTTGAGATTTCGTACAAAATAAGTAATCCTCAAGAGGTCAGAGAGGGATCTGACTCACCAACGACTTTTGTACCTGAATTGAAATTCGTTCTTTTGCAATGCGAATGTTCAGAGAAAAAACACGGTACCAATTAGCTGTTTCAGAAGACAGGTCAACAGATGTGCATTTCGCACAACCATTGGTTTGAAACTGACTATTATTGTGCGCTTCCATTGACTCCCGTGACGCATAGACATACGCCATGAGAAACACCTGAGAAGCAGAACCCAGGCCAATGGAATAGCAGCTGCAGTAACCCTGTTCAGAAGAAGCTGGGGCCCAGAACTCAGCCCCAGACTTCGCAGACCAAGACTGGTCTGCGCCGGGCTGTGTGACCAACACATGCCCAGATCTGAGCAGGCCGTGCTTGGCTGTGGAACCAAGTGCTAAACTCAGGAAATTCAAGAGTCAAAGTCAACTGTCAAGTCAAAGGTACCACGCCTAGGCCCCTGGTTGGATACACTCACTTGTTGTGCGCAGGTACCCAGACATGCATACAGGCCAGAGAGAATACAGTTTCAGATCAATCCAGGCCTTCATTGGTGGCAAGATCTGGACGGCGACGGGATGCAGTACCCGGGGTCCAGACTCCGCGTCAACGCTACATAAGCGTTGACTTCCTGGCTTTGACATTCATTCATTCTGTCTTGCTTTGACGCTGACTCTACGCGTTGACGACGCGACGCCGGCTTGACGCTGCGACGCTGGTGGACGCTGGCATAGTGCTGGCATTGGTGAGACTCTGGCGACGCGCTGCTGGCCGGTATGGTGACTGGTTGGCTACTGTCTATAAGGCATGTTGACGTGGCAGCTGCCACGCGTTGCTGCTGACGTGGCTGCTGCCACGTGTCATATAGCCGGGTCTTTGTGACCGACCGGCTCTGCTGTTCTTCATTTCGGCACTTCAGGGAGATCAGGACTGTTCATCGTCACTTCAGGAGGAGATCAGGACTGTGTGGAGGTTGTGGATACGTACCTGTGATCTTCATGTTGACATTGCTCCAGCGCTGATTGGGAACTGATCAGGTGCCACGTGGCACATTGTAGAAGGACTTCGACTATGTGTTCAGATTACTGGTTCTGTGAGGCGGCGATTGTGTAGGGAGCCCGGAGAAGGAGTGGGCCTTGTATCTTCCTCTCATTTGTCTCATCTCCCTCCTCCCTCTTTGTCTGTGTATGGTTATCTCTCCTCCTCCTTTCTGGACACTGTTCGATTATTGGAAATTATCAGCGACTTCGGATTCTAGACTTGCATTGTTGACAAACGTATTCATGATCTGGGTTCATTGCAATTTGGTATCGGAGCAGATCTCCTGAACACGGTGTTGATAGGCGCCAGGTGGCGCACAGGTAAGTGTGGTGCACACACATATATAGTAGGTGATGACGTGGTTGGAGACATGCCGGGATATCTGACGTGGCACAGATTGGCGAGAAGACATCTCCGGGAATGCTGATGTGGCTCTGTCTTCATTGGCAAGAAGGTAACACTGGGGATACTGACGAAGTACGGCGAGAAGACCCTACCTGGTTGCTGACGTGGCGGTAGGGATCGCAATTGGAGATACCTCCGTTCAGCCTGGATCTGACGTGGCATATGTTGTGCCACGTCCAGGGACCTTGTTGTTGATTGTTGACAGGGCACGTTCTGTGCTGCTGGCGCGCGANGTTGTGCCACGTCCAGGGACCTTGTTGTTGATTGTTGACAGGGCACGTTCTGTGCTGCTGGCGCGCGACAGGGTCCATTGAAGCTGGCGTGGCCTCGCAGGAAACAGTTTTTGATTGCTGATGTGGCAGAGAGCAAGACATTCCTACCTGTCTTTATGAAGGGATGTTTGCCTGCTGACGTGGCATCATTTCCTGTGGCTGACATGGCATGTACTAATTGGCTGGAACAGTAACGGTGTCTCAACGTGACGCAACCAAGAGGAACGTGACAAGGATCAGGATACACACTTGCTGATGTGTCATCCCCCTATTGGTAGACTGGACAGACAACGTGCTGACGTGGCAAGACTTGCTGTGTTGGCACTCCAGGGGTGACACGTGGCAGGCAGGACTGCTGCTAAGTAAGAAGGGCACTCTGAAGACTACGGCGGTACGGCTGACAGAGTTGATTATACAGCTGTAGTGCTAGCTGTCCGGGAGAGTGCATCATCACACTGACACTCAGAAGACAGCGAATTGATAAGGAGTGCTAACGAACTGTTTTGTGTTGTTGTTGGCATACTTACCTGTCTTGGCTGTGTGTGGAGTTGTGTACTTACTTGTGTTGTCTGATCACACGGGGCAGACGTAGTACCTGTACATATGACGTCATCACACAGACAAGGAAAGAACAGCAGTCAGAAAAGTAAATCTGTTCTTTTTTATTATTTCTTTTATTTTTCTGTATTCCCGTTGTAAATATCTTCTCCACTCTTATTTCCAGAATGTTTGGCATTTGGAAGATACTCTTGCTTCTCTTTCCTATGGCTCTATTCTCGGGTGAGGGAACCTCAGACCCAAAGACTCGGAGACAGGCAGAGGAAAGAAAGCAAGAACTTCTAGCATTATGGAACCAGCTGTTGAAAGATCTGCATATGTCTGGACCCGACGCCGAACAACACGTCCGCAATCTGTTTGACTTGCAGACGGTAGAGGACCGTCTAAGGCAAGCAGTTGCGGGCGACCTGGTTGCTGACGTGGCGGTGGGGATCGCAATTGGAGATACCTCTGTTCAGCCTGGATCTGACGTGGCATATGTTGTGCCACGTCCAGGGACCTTGTTGTTGATTGTTGACAGGGCACGTTCTGTGCTGCTGGCGCGCGANGTTGTGCCACGTCCAGGGACCTTGTTGTTGATTGTTGACAGGGCACGTTCTGTGCTGCTGGCGCGCGACAGGGTCCATTGAAGCTGGCGTGGCCTTGCAGGAAACAATTTTTGATTGCTGATGTGGCTGAGAGCAAGACATTCCTACCTGTCTTTATGAAGGGATGTCTGCCTGCTGACGTGGCATGTACTGATTGGCTGGAACAGTAACGGTGTCTCAACGTGACGCGACCAAGAGGAACGTGACAAGGATCAGGATACACACTTGCTGATGTGTCATCCCCCTATTGGTAGACTGGACGTGGCAAGACTTGTTGTGTTGGCACTCCAGGGGTGACACATGGCAGGCAGGACTGCTGCTAAGTAAGAAGGGCACTCTGAAGACTACGGCGGTACGGCTGACAGAGTTGATTATACAGTTGTAGTGCTAGTTGTCCGGGAGAGTGCATCATCGCACTGACACTCAGAAGACACAGCGAATTGATAAGGAGTGCTGACGAACTGTTTTGTGTTGTTGTTGGCATACTTACCTGTCTTGGCTGTGTGTGGAGTTGCGTACTTACTTGTGTGTTGTGTCTGATCACACGGGCCTGACGTAGTACCTGTACATAGGACGTCATCACACAGACAAGGGAAGAACAGCAGTTAGAAAAGCAAATCTGTTCTTTTTTATTATTTCTTTTATTTTTCTGTATTCCCGTTGTAAACATCTTCTCCACTCTTATTTCCAGAATGTTTGGCATTTGGAAGATACTCTTGCTTCTCTTTCCTATGGCTCTATTCTCGGTGAGGGAACCTCAGACCCAAAGACTCGGAGACAGGCAGAGGAAAGAAAGCAAGAACTTCTAGCATTATGGAACCAGCTGTTGAAAGATCTACATATGTCTGGACCCGACGCCGAACAACACGTCCACAATCTGTTTGACTTGCAGACGGTAAAGGACCGTCTAAAGCAAGCAGTTGCGGGCGCGGAGGTCGTGGCTGCCGGGATTGAAGTCATGAAAATGATAGGCCAGTGTCGTCAGGCATTAGACCAGTTCGCAATCAAACAGTTGGAAGCTGTAATGGATATGACAAGAAAAGGGGAAGTTAGACCCGAAGTAACGGAAGCCACTATTGATGCTAACATTCAGCAACTACGAGAGACATTGGCTTCTGAAGAGAAGAAGAAAGAAGATATGTTAAGGAAGAAGGAGATCTGACACAGACTTTATATCACATCATGACTTACCTCTCTTTCCTCGAAGAAAAGATTGACCGACAACAGAGCCAGTTAGATGAGATTGCTGTCGGACTGAGAACCGTTACAAACATTGTAAAAGGGAAGACTCAGGTAACAAAAGAAGAGCTTGAAGAGGAAGACAAGAAAGAAAAGAAACCGAAATTAATGAGTGATGCTATGAAGTCTGCCGTTCCGAAAGAAAAGACTGAAGAGGGGAAATCGTCTAATGGGGGGGAATTGAGTCCGTCATCTACTCCTTCTTCCCCTCCTTCCCCTCCTTCCCCTCCTCCTAACTCTCCACCTCCGAGTTCTCCTAAGGGTAAGAAAACCGCGGAACCCGAAAAACCCAAGAAGAAGGAGAAAGTGAAAAAAAATGCCTTTTACGTTTTGCAACAAAAAAGATGAAAATCTGTTGCTATGGATTGTCGAGATACAGACGTACTGTAAGACGTCCCCAGTCGAGCGTGATTCTCAGGTTGCGTTTTCTACTTCATGTTTGGGTGGGGAAGCAAAAGAATGGGTATTGGTTGAGGCTAATGCCGCAGGGTTCGAAGACATTGGAGAGTGGTCTGGTACGATGAACCTGAAGCAGTTCCTTGCTAAGATCAAGGAACGCTTCCTGGACAAGACGACGACCGATAAGGCTTTTGACCAGCTCACAACCATAGGCCAACGTCATTGGACCTCTGTGGAGTCTCTGCCTCGGGAAGTAGATCGGTTGCTGCAGGTTCCTGGATTGAACCTGCAGGACAACCAAATCCTCTATATCTATTCCCGCGCTCTGCCCGAGACTATTCGTGGACAGCTTGTGGCAGACTCAAAATCCGGAAAGTATAATTATAGGCAGTTTCGCGATCTGGCTCTCCAAAGAGAGCAAATGACTTCACAAGTTAAGAACTCATATGCTTCCGTGGTGAAGTATGGTGGAGGAGGAGGAGGAGCGAATTGGGGTAAGCGGGTCCTGTGGCGTCATAAGCGCCAGGACCATATGCTTGTTCTTTTTTACAACGAAACTGTGGAGAAGATGCCGCTAGAAGCCGAGGGGGCGGCATGCAGCAGTGAGTCACTGTTGCCGTGGTCAACAAGGGAGGACCACGAGTAAATGGAATTAAGAAGAAGAAACCACGCTCGTTCCCTGAGCATCCCGAAATTGCGGCCGGGAAGCCCTGGGAAAAGATGGGAATCACACAGAAATTGTGGCAGGAAATAATGAACAATGCACAGTGCCTGAAGTGTGGACTTGCAGGGCATGTGATAGCCTGGTGTCCACAGATTCGTTTCCCAAAAGCGAGCAGCCAGCAGGAGTAGCATCTGCTCCTACTGAGTCTAAAGGTTTCGATCAACAACAAGGTAAGGCGCCTACAATCCCTCCCAACCTTTTGACTCACATGGCGGAGGATGGTTCTTCTTCGGCCCGTCATCCGGAACACCCTGAACCTGTCTTATGTACTGTCTCTCTGGATGACTCTCTTGACAAGCTTGGTAACGAGTTGCTGGCACTACGACGCTCGTGGGCTCAGAAAGCGAAGTCTAAGGGTGAACTCCTACTCGCGGATGTAGAGATTGCACGCACACGTGTAGGTGTACTGCTAGACTCAGGATCTACACGATCCTACATTTCCGAGAAGGCGATCCGCAAGTTGCATCTCGAAATGAAGGTAAAGAATCTGTCTAAACCTATCACGTCTATTCTGGCTGACAGAAGCACGATTACTGTCGCACGATATGTTGATCGTGTTAAGTGCTTATTTCGAACCAAGGAAGGAAAAAAAATAATACACGAGGTTTCCTTTCTGGTAGAAGAGAAGTTACCTTTTGACTTGATTCTGGGAATGGATTGGCACGAGGAAGCCAACCCAAAAATTAAGTTCAAGGAAAAGGTAGTGCAACTGAGGGATGCACACGTAGTATTGAAACCAATAAAATTGTTTCATAAGTTCGGTTCTGACTCTACTCTGTCTTTTTGCTGTATGAGTTACCCAGCATTCCGATCCATGGTTTCAAAGAAGAAGTTGGAACAGGAAGTAATGATGGTCTTAGTGAAGCAAGTTGGTGAGTCTTCTACTTCCTATCCCCCCTCGATTGAGAAACTCTTGGATGAGTATAAAGATCTGTCAATTGAACCAACCGGAACAACTGAGCGTGCTATCAAGCACACCATTGAGATTATTCTTGGAAGTAAGATTCCCAAGGGCCCTATTTATAGGGTGTCTCCTACGGAACTTGAAGAATTAAGGAAACAACTGCAGGAACTAATTGAAAAACGATGGATTCGCCCTAGCTCCTCTCCTTATGGTGCTCCTGTCTTGTTTGTGCCCAAAAAGGAAGGTGAGTTCCGTTGTCGGGACAGAAACCCCTGAGAGGGTTTCTGCCCGAGTTTTTCAAGGTCATACGCTGTCCGACTTCTTTTCGTTGGATTTGAGGAACATGATGAGATTGACGTTGCCAAAGTCATTCAGACCAACCCTATAACTGAGAGACCTAAAGCTTGACGTCGATGACTTATGACGTCGTTGACGAGTGACGTCATCGACGTCCGTTCGAAACAGCGGGAGTCGGCGGTACGACCTGTCGTCCGCGCTTCCCAACAAGGTCGCAGTAGCGTGCGGTCATGGAAAAACTAAAGCTAGACCTAGTCTACCTAAAATAATGACAGCCGCGCGATTGAGGGCCTAAATAGGCTAAAAACAGGGGTGCGCCGGGTATAGAGCCGCGACGCAGGGGGGAATAGGAAGAAGGGTCTTATTTCCCGGGTTACGCGGGGTTGACACTGAGCCAGCGAGTTGAAAGGCTGATGTCGAGCTCACGCGGCCAACTGAGCATGCAGGGCCACAAGCAGGTGAGGCCTGCAGGGCCGCAGGCAGACGAGGCCTGCAAAGCCACAGGCAGGCGAGACCTGCAAAGCCACAGACAGGCAGGGTCTGCAAGGCAAGGCAGGCTGGGCCTGTTGAGTGTGGGCTGGGCCTACTGGGGACTGCACCTGTATGTATAGAGGAGGCGCAGGTCTATCTCCTGTGGTAGGAGCCAGCCCGGTAGGTTACAGTTTAGGACTCTTACCCGGTAGATATCGGGATCGAATCTGAACTAATGCGCCGTTGGGCTAGCTCCTTTTGGAGCTGGCCACCTTGGATGCTTTTAGCGCGGTCGATTCCAACCGTCGATCACGAGGATCGCGCGGCCGAGATCGGCCGCGCAGATTAGCATTGGCCTGCGCAAGGTTGACACGCACAATTGACAAATGATTCAATTTTTTTTTTTTTTTTTTTTTTTTTTTTTTTTTT